ATTAGAATTCTATACAGTTTCCAACAGTGGGTTACAGATTTGACTTTAATCAACTAGCAACTATTGCCATGACATTTAGACCTTGTCACTACAGCACATTTTATACTACATTTTACTTTGTATACATGAGTAGCTTTGATTCCAAAAAAAATGGTTTTTGGTTTTTTGGGTTTTTTTTTAGTTGGAGTCTCTCTCTGTCGCCCAAGCTGGAGGGCAGTGACACGCTCATAGCCACCACAGTCTCAACCTGCTGGACTTAGGTAATCCTTCCACCTCAGCCTTCCAAGTAGCTGGAACTGCAGGCATGTGCCACCACACCTGGCTAGTTTTTCTTGATTTATTGTAGAGATGAGGTCTTGCCAAATTGCCCAGGCTGGTCTCAAACCCGTGGGCTCAGGCAATCCTCTCACCTCGGCCTCCCAAAGTACTGGTATTATAAGCATGAGTCACTGTACTCAGCCTCAAAAAATGTATTTCCAGATCAGAAACAAAAAAGCTTTCTACATAACAGGTGACTTATTTTAATGTCCACTTTAGCCTCTCTGTACTCAAGAAAGGGAATGAAGAGAGAGAATGAAACAGCAGAGAGATATTGCCAAAATAACTGCGCTCTGGCATGTCCACACTGACAGGAGGGGCCTGGGAGCCTGGTCAGGACTACTTTCAGAGGGTACCCTCCACATCTAGAACTGGGTCGTAAAGTTCTAGAGACGTCTTCTGTATTTGGCACTATGTCTAGGTTAGGCTCTATGACCCTGATGCTCTGATTCTCTAAGCATGAATAACTGAGAAACTTTCAATTTTCCTTTTCCCATGTTTAATAAACCTATCACTAATATTTATGTTTTTAAACTGTGAAATACAATCCAGAGGGGCAAAAAAGAAATATAAATTAGTAAAGGAATAGCCAGAGAGTACTGGATATCTATTCACCTGTGGTCTTCAACTGTTGCCAATCACTATTTAATTTGACCTTGGCACAGTTTCTGTGATTACATCAAATCAATTAATTAGACTTTCTTAACCCAGAGACAGGCTTTTCCTGTATCTTCTCAGTGACTGCAGGGTACAGCAACTGTGACCAACTTTTTATCTGCAACTTAGAGGAAAAAGAGCATCAAGAGATAACGGAAAGGTCATGAACTTGGAGGCAAATCAGTCTGGGTTTGAATTCCAATTTAATATCTAAATAACCACAGTCGTATTATTAAAACATTCTGAGATTCTTAATGTGTGCAATTGGGGTAGACCTTGCTTGGTTATTAGACAATTAAATAAGTATATAAATCTCCCGGCACATAGAGGAGTTGTGGTCTTCCTTAATCCACCACCTTAACCATCTCCGATAGTATCACTGTTACAACTATTGCCAGCTGCGTGTCTGTGGGAAAGTCACGTAACTCTCTGAACCTCTGTTTCCTCTTCGGTAAAATAAAGATAATGTCTATCTCATAGGGTTAGGAAGATAATGAAATGCTAACACCTATAAAGTACTAGAAACATGGCATGGGGTCAATAAATTTTAATTCAAAAATCTTTTCCTCTTTTCCCCTCATCTTAAAAAATAGCAAGAGCAGGGAACCCTTCAAGCACTGTTGTTATTCCCAGTCTAGTAGTTCACTCTGATCCTGAGATTAGATTAGAGCCTACAGGGTCACCTCAAATGCTCTCTAAATTAGACCTGATGTCTGGATTCGTGTCCTGGAAAGATTCACACACTGCTACCAGAGTTGCTAGGTCTGAATCAATCTTTCGGCTGTAGAGACAGCAAGAAATGTGTGCAGCACATAAATATTACTCTCAGTGGATCCTTCCCCTTTTCCTTCGGGGACCCTGCATGGCCAATGTCCAACACATAGAGGATAGGCAGAGAGGGTAACTACACTTTTCCCTGGGCCCCTGCCTGAATTATGTCTGCTCTCCAGTATAAGGGTCTCTCCTCCTTCAGCAGTTTTCTGTCCTTGTTCACCATCTCTACTGACAGAGACAAGAAAGCAGGCCACCTTTCCCTGCATACTGGGATCCTGTAGTGTCCCCAAGGGCAGCCTGATGCAGTTCAAAATTCAGCTGACAACTACTGAGATCTTACACTTTTTGCGGAAATAGTAGCTTTAAAGGAAAACACGGCTGACTGCAATGGCTCACGCCTATACGCTCAGCAATTTGGGAGGCTGAGGCGAGAGGATTGCTTGAACCCAGCAGATTGAGACCAGCTTGGGTAACATAGCCAGACCTCGTCTCTACAAAAAAATTTAAATAATTAGCTAGATGTGGTGGCACACACCTGTAATCCTAGCTATTCAGGAGGTTGAGGTGGAAGGGTCACCTGAGCCCAGAAGGTCAAGGCTGTACGGAGCCATGATCATGTCCCTGCTCCTCCAGCCTAGGAGGCAAAGTGAGACCACAACTCAAAACGAAAATAAAATAAATAAAATGAAATCTCCAAATGTACGGCGGTAACAAACATAGCACTACATTCCTCACGAGGGCCTAGCCTTCTCTTCAAGAAATGGAGTGGACATTTACACAGAGAAGGAGCTGTGAGTCTTGAATTCTCTGGTTTTGTACAAGGGAGTATGGTGGGGGCAGGGGGTAGCTAAAGGTTTATTGTCAAGACGCCACTGACTCACCTTTTACAGCTCGCTCTTAAAATCTTTTTAATTTGTTGGAAAATGCAAATTAATTATGTACCCTGTTTTTCTTGTAAATTGTTGGTAAGTTAGTAAAAGTCACTACTATTCAAGAAGGCTTCCATAACTGCTCTCTGAAAAAGGGCTAAGATGTACCTGTATGGTCACTTTTGTATTCCAGTGACCTTAGTTGAGTCAGCAACAGGCCAAATGGGCTGGGAGCGGGTGATGCTCAATTTCGTAAAACACAGTCTATAAAACATCACCCTTGTAAAACCTTCATTTGGCAGGTGGTTTTGCAAAAGTTGTAAAACCTTACAAGTGGATATGCCAAGGGATTCCTTTAAGTATCAAGATGTCCTTCAATTTAAAATATATATATACTATGACTCAATCCAGAATCACAGTTGTATGTGTAGATTTTCCAAAGCTTATCTTTCTAAAAATGCGTGCACCCATACTCGGTGAAATGCATACTAAGCCGGACAAAACACTAGATCTCACCAGTGGCAAAGAAGAAAACTCCCTGCCAGACCTAAATAATTGCTTCACATATTTGGAAGAGCTGCACAGTATGCAAGTGACTCACCAAGTCACAAACAGCAGCACAGAGGCAGGCTCGGTTATGAGGCTGGACCTGCACAACAGGTTCTGAAGGCCCAGCCGTTAATGAAGTAGTTAAGCTAAGCAGAACCCTCTCACCTCCCAAGGAAGGAAAATAAACAAAGACTTTTAGCTGTCCGCCCAGCAAAATCATCTTTCTCTTTTTGCTATCTTTCCATTTCTGTAGGTCCCTTGGTTTATAAATATTTATTCTTGTCTATATTATTTTTCATCATGCTATGATTTAAACTAATTTTTTTTTAATCATGGTCTCATCCTGTCACCAGACTGGAGTGTGCTAGAAGGATCATGGCTCATCACAGCCTCGAATTCCTGGGTTCAAGTGATCCTCTCTCCTCCCTCCACAGACTCCCGAGTAGCTGCAACTACAGGTGTACATCACCATAACCGACTTTTTTTTTTTTTTTTTTTAGGTGTAAGATCTCATTATGTTGCCAAGGCTGGTCTCAAACTCCTGGGCTCAAGCAAATCTCCCACCTCAGCATTCCTAAATTCTGGGATTACAGGCATGAGCCACAGTGCTTGGCCCTTGTTCTTGTGTATTTTAGCAGTTAATCTGGCAAGGCTGATTTAGGGTAGCCAGGAAATTGAGAAAATATACTGCTTTTCTGGGTAAAACTTTACAAAATTAAACAATTTATGAAGTTCTACTCACATTAAGATAGGGGAAAGAGGGTGGACCCTCCCTGCAGGAAAAAAATCTATGGTACATTTTACATTGGAACAATGTGATGTCAGCTTCTGATTTTCCACACCAGGCTTTGGAGGTAAAGCTCAACATTTGACCCCAGCTATGTTGTACCATAAAAGGCCACTGCACATAAGTCCTGTGTAATAAGAAACTGGTAAAGGAAGGGAGAGGTTGTTAGAACATTCATGGGAAGGGTTATAAAGGACGAGCAGTTTGTGCGTGTGAGTTTCACTTTTCATTATAAGCTTTCACAGTTTCACTGGATCCAAATATCTAAGAAATGTTCATTGAACACAAAGTCCACAGAAAGAAAGGACCAGAATTCTTCCAGGTCTCTACTATCAGATTCTCTCTGGTCTCCACTTTCCTTTTTTCTTCTGCTTGCAAGAATGATGGGAAGGGGGTGTTAGATGTCTCTGTTTATAAAGATGTTTCTTTTGAGTATTATTAGAGTAATCAGCATGAATGAAGATAAGAATGTTGCACATCTGAGATGCACCTAAAATGCTAACCAATTCTCCAGGATATTTTGAGGAAGATTTGTCTTTTCCTGTCTCTCATCAGAAGATATGAGAATATTATAAGCACCCATATATTTATCTGGCTGTTTAAAATTCTGTTTTACCTGTTTTATCAAAGTAGTATGAGGGATGAATCCTTTGGTAGCCATGTTTGCCTACAAGAATGCCAAAAGTTGTCTTCCTGAACTTGCAACCTTCTACTTGCATTCTTGAAGTTCATTCTTGTGTACCATACACACCTTAAAGTGAGCTGACAGATTTATAATTACTAGACTCTGCCATGAAAAAAAAATGCCAGAAGGAACCGACACCACCCACTAAAGGATTGCTGTTGGCATGATGACTGGGGTGTGGTGCCTTGGCACATGGCAACGTGGGTTGTTCTGTCATAAGTGGTGGTGAAGCTAGGGGATACTTTTCTTCTTTGACTTATATTATTATCTTCTTGAATGAGACAGATCTCAATTTTGAATCATAACTGTGGGAAAGGCCCACACCCATCTCACCCCAACATATGTAAACTTCATTTCTCCCAAGACTTCCAGCTATGAGAGAACGCAACCGTCGATATTATGAAAGTGGCTGGGCTGAAATGTTTGCTCTCCTGTGCCCAGTCACTTGAGCAGTCCAAGTGACACATTTGACGAGGCAGAACAAGAAACATATCCCTTCAGTATGGAGTATTTTGGACAGGAAGCTGAGTTTTGGAGCAAACTAATGGTGAGTTAAGTGTTTAAATATCAAGGGCATCGTGCTGGTCATTTTCCTTGTGGTTTTTTTGTAAAATAAGATGAAAGGGGAATTTATAGTCAAAGGATTGTAGTCTTGCTCATTATTTTAAGTGAAACGTGTCTTCTACACACCAACTTTTGTTAGTGATAGCTGGCTTTGAGGGAATGATTTGAGTGTAAGTTTCTCCAATTTTGTTGATGAAGAACACTGAACAGCTTACGGGCTTGCAAGGCATTATGACTTGATGGAAGTGATGTGACTTGCTGATCAAAAGGAATTCAAAGCTAGATTTTGAACATAAATAAGGTATTTCTTAGAACTCTGTGTTGGATTTTTACTTTTGGTTTTCTTTAGCTGTATCTTTTTGAAGATTTTTATATGCATATATGTATGTACATACATGTGCATGTGTATGTACACACATGATGATCAGAAGGATATAATAAAGGAGGAGTCTCATGTCTAAGACTAACTTTTAGGATTTTTGAACTGGACATATTCACACCTGCCATTTTTTCTTTAAGTCACTAAGAACTGCTCAGTTTACTTCAGGTTCCTACCTGAAAGCATCCTAGAATGGCAGAGATTCCAGACCTTGGAATCTCATTTTATAGTTGAATAAACTGAAGTCCCCATATGCAAACAATCCATAGTTGAGCTATAAGATCACAGACTCCACACCCAGTCCAGTGCCTTATCGGCTATTTTTCACTGACTCACAGTATAAATTTTCATTTGTTTTCTCCTTTCTAAGGTAAATGCAAGCTTCCTTGGAAATAGAAAATGTTGTTGCAAACATAGGTGATTTTTAGATTGAACGGTATAACAAATTATCTTCTGCTGGCAACTTTGTGACCCATCTGTCTTTTTCCTGGCAGTATGACCTATACTCCCTTCCTTTATGACATGAAGTTGACTTCAAGAGTAAATTAAAGCATTGGTTTCTAGAGTAATCACTCCTGTTCATTAAAGAATGTCCGCTATCTCCAGTGTCTTAGATTATAATGCCATAGCTAAGCTGGTAAACCACATTGTACGATACTTTTAGAGAAAGAAGGGTAAAAAAAATGTACTGTTTCCAAACATAACTAAAAAGCACAATTTTCAGATCAGTATTAAACTTTTGATATATTTACTTTTGTTTATCCGATTATTTCACTCATCTGCTTAGCAAGCATACCAATACATTGTACTCTGGAAACTCAACCATTTCTATGCTCTTATAATACTTGGATGCTTTTAATGTCTTTATTTTTATTAAGAGTTTGTTTAGGGGCCAGGCATGGTGGCTCACACCTGTAATCCCAGCACTGTGGGAGACTGAGGCAGGTGGACTGCTTGAGCCCAGAAGTTGGAGACCAGCCTGGGCAACATAGTGTAAAAACTCATTTTGTATATCTAACCCTGAATTGTACCCCACATCTTTATAATAAGATAAATTAAAAAAACAAGTTGAAGTATCTCACACACACACACACACACACACACACACACACACACACACACACACACAAGAAAACTCATCTTTACAAACTGTAGAAAAATAAAAAAGATTTTTTCTGCAGAGAAGGAAGGAAGGAGCATCTATGTTGTAAGGACTGGTAGCTGATGAGACAGCTGGCTCTGATTGGCTCTAGGGTTCACCTGTAGGGCCTGGGCAGAGACTGGTGGTCAGAAAATACATAGGACTGAGATACAGGCATTGGTCAAATCTGCTCAGACCAGCTCCCCTGACCCCTGCCTAAGTGGGTTCCCAAATATGATAGTCACACAAGAAAACTATTAGAATTATAAGGTAAGCCACTACCATGCAAGTTCAATCTAGCCTGTTTTTTTTTTATTTTGTTTTGTTTTGTTTTTTGTGTTTTTTTTTTTGAGTTGGAGTCTCACTCTGTCACCCACATTGGAGTGCAGTGGCCGCTCCCGGCCACTGCAGCCTCGACCTGCTGGGCTCCGGTGATCCTTCCGCCTCAGCCTTCCAAATAGCTGGAACTACAGGCGTGCACTACCACGCCCGGCTCATTTTGATTTATTGTAGAGATGAGGTCTCGCCAAGTTGCCCAGGCGGGTCTCGAACCCACAGGCTCAGGCAATCCACTCACCTCAGCCTCCCAAAGCGCTGGGATTACAGGCTGAGCCACCGAGCCCAGCTCTAGCCTGTTGTTTTTTCAATTCTTGAATATCCACTGCCATTTTGAAAATTTTCTCCTCATTTTGGACCTCTCTCCTGCCCTTGCCTCCACCTCTGCCACTACCTGTTGTCAGCAGTTCCCTGGGCAGGTGGGTGGTGACTTCCTGTGAAAGAGCCAGGTCAGCAGCCCTGACAAGGCCTCAGGGAACTGGTCACCACTCACAGCCTCCCAGAAGCTCCTTGCAGGCTGTATAATGGATAGAATTCCCGCCAGCTCAGACACCCAAGGACAGGCATGGCCCAGGGCAAGAGGGACTGAAATTCATTATGAGTCAATGGATGGTCAGCCTGTGTAAGTCCACAGAAATGGATTTTCAAAAGCCTGGAATAGTTTCACAATGTCTTTCTATTATAATTAATGCACCCAACTTCTCTTGTGGTCAGCAGGTTATTATCTTAACTGTGTAGATTATGAGACATGGAGCCTTAATAGCAGGGTTGGTGCTCCCTGGTTAGTGAGCAGACTGAGAGTGATAAATCCAAGCCTCTGCCATCAGTAGCTGATAGTTTATTACAGAGTGAATGTTGTCTGTTGAATATTGTCTCTGAGCCTTCTCTGCCAAGAGGACCAGAAAGATTCCTCCATTGAGTTCTCTCTTTGTTTTTTGCCCGAGTACACGTAAGTTGTGGCATGTCTTCACTCTCACAGAATATTTGTGTCATTTAGAAACTCACTTCCATGCTGAACATAAGGATCATGTGTTTCTCAAAGAGAATGGTGACCCCTGCAAGTTCAAATTCAGAAGACTGCCTCCAAGTACAGCTTCAAACCACCAAGGCTGTCTTCAAGGACATTTGGTGAATCAGGTCTCTCCATGCACACAACCTTGCACTGCAGTTCAACCTAGCCCAACTTCAGCAAGTGTGGACTACGCATGAGAGTGCCATCAGTAGTGAGCATGATGTCCACATACACTTATTTTGGGAAAGTGGATAGTGGTTACTGGCTACGTAGTCCTATCTGATCATCTCCACTCAGGAGACCCAACCGTCTTTCTTTTTTCAAGCCAAAAATCCTCATTTGCCCCCATCCTGTTTCTCCTAAGAAGCTCATTGAATACCTCCCTCATTGAAGCATCACGCAAGTGCTCACGGAGCCCAGACTCTGTGGCTAAATCTGCTGTTTCTATGGAGAACACAGAGGAAGAAGACATGCTCTTGACTCATGAGGTCAAAAAATAATTGTGAGACAAGACATATATGCATGAAACAATTAGAGAACAGAATAATGTATAATTGAATGGCAGAGGGCATGGTTCAGAAATTAAATGGAATAGCGATTCCAAAGTCAGAGGAGTCAGTGAGGCCCAGAAGAGTCAAGGAAGGCTTCATGAAGGAAACCGATGGAAAAGGAGAGAGAGGATTTGAAAATGAGAGGGATTAGCATGCAAGTGGTGAAGATGGTGATGAGTAAGTGCTGGGACGTGGAGACACCCCTGGTCATGGGACACTACTGAGTGGTTGAACAGGAAATGGATGTGGTGCACTGGGAAAGAGAAAGCTGAAAAGATCCTGGAATGTCTTGAAGGTCAAGAAGAGGAGCTTAGACAAGGTAGGAAGTGGGAGCCATGGAAGGTGCCAGAATGGCATGATCAAAGCAGTGTTTAAGGAAAATTAGCCTGGCAAGGTAGATTGGACTCTGAAGATGCTGGAGCTCGGTCAGAAAGCTCCTGTTACCGACACATGAGAGGGCAATAGTCCCAGATTGAAGTGGTACAGGTGGAATAAAGATAAAGAAGCATGTTTCTAAAGAAAAATATGAAATGCTAGTTGATTGGTGGGATCCTGTACGGTACGCGTTACGTAAAGCACATTATGGGTATCTTGTATAGGTAGCACTCTATCTTTGCTCAGGATAAGAAAGAAGTCTAATCCTTTGCCTACTACTAAGTCCAGCAAATATTTCTTGTCCTTTCCTCCCTGTTTCTTGAGTTGAACAAGCTCATTCTAGAAAACCCTCTAGGCACCATGCCCACCCTGAAAGGTCAGGTCAAAATTTATTTTCTAGGCAGTACTACCTGGAACATTTTGTCTCCTCAAACTCCTCTTCCCTCACAGCTGGATTCATGATACTGTGGCTCAGTTTCCTAAGATCTGCTTCTTAGCTACTGTTTGATGAACAGGAAACACTTTTCTACTTTCTTACTCATTGTCTTGGTTTTATTTCTAGTTAGTTTGCTTCTCCCATCTCTTTCCTCTGTCTTTATTCACATCAATTTGTCTGACCAAGGCTGGGCACAATGGCACCTGCTTATAATCCTAGCACTTTAGGAGGCTGAGATGGAAGGATTACTTGAGGTCAGGAGTTTGAGGCCAGCCTGGGCAACAGAGTGAGAGCCTGTCTTTACAAAAATTAAAAAAATAAAAGTAGATTAAAAGTAAATAAATAAAAGGTGTCTATCCACTGATACTTGGTTACTTGGCAGCACACGTCAGCTTTAGATGATTAACTTTTCCAACTGTATACACAGTTGTATTTGATATAAATAACACAAAAAAGGGGGAAAGAGGTACACAATTCGCTTGATGGTTTGAAGGGGGAAGCAAGTTACCCCATCAAGTATGCAAATGAAGAAAATCAAGGTGTTGTGTGGGTAGACTGACAGGTCTTATGTTTCAGGGTAAGTTTTGAATCATAGAAGGCAAGATCTTTAAAGGATCATATTCTATTTGACCTGTATAGTGGTTTTTGTTTTTGTTTTTGTTTTTTTGCTTGTTTGTTTTGAGTTGGGATCTCACTCTGCCACCCAGGTTGGAGTGCAGTGACACAATCACACCTTCCAGATGCCTCCGCCTT